TTCATTTGTGACATTCGAAATCAATGATCAACTTACTATGCTCTTGTGACAACTTGGATCGTTGCGATGACATAAGGCTAACAAACAGTTGAAGTGAACTCTTTTCGATTTAGAAAATCTTAAATAAAAGTTTGTTGGATAAAGCTTTTGAAAAGATATTACTTGAAAGCTTTAGCTGGTGCTGTAGCCACAGCATTCTCCACATCATATTCTGGATGAGGTAGAATGTCTTCATCTAATGAGCATCTGAAGATAACAAGAATGAGCAAATAAATTTTTTTAGCCAGCAGTGTGTTTGACCGTTCACCACGTCATCAACATTTGAAAATGAAACAACAAGATGACGTGATGACGTGTTAATTTCACGCGCCACGTGGCAAACATCATTAGCATAAGAGAAGAGAGCGAAATGATATAAAGCTTGTTGCAAAATTACATTATTTGAAATCAATTTTTTTGTTATTAGATTACCCTTCTTCATCTATGATCATGTACGATTTATCAATTCCATTATGAACATAACATCTATAGATTTTAAATAAATACTCGTTATTGGAGCATGACCAACGATGATAAACCTTAAAAGGAAAATTTAATTTTTAAAAAATGAAATGAACTGGTAGGGAATGTGAAGAACTCACTAGATCGCCAATACTAGCTGAGAATGTTGCTGGACCCATAGATTCATGACTATGAATCGAATACTGACATGTAGGTAGAGCTGAGATGTTCATTATGGGAGCTGCATGGAAATCACTGCAAAGGACATTATCGATTAGATATATTGATGACATTATTATCCACAAGGCTCATTGACTAAATCTCTCTATCTCTCTCTCTATGACTCTGTCCCTCTCACTTTATTAACCATTACTGGTATTTATTGATTTGTACAGAAAAGTTTGTTTTCATCTTATCCAACCCAAAGTACGTGGAAAGGCTATATGGGTACTAAGCAACTCACGATATATCATAATAAGCTTCGACAGTCCTATTTTGATTGTTATAACGACAAACAATTTCATAAATTTTGTCATCTTCAGTTAATTGATCATATGCCCAACTAAGGACAACTGTCAAACGATATTCCACAGCCGACTTCTATAACGTTTAATTATTATTTTTTCATTATTTTTGTTCTTTTCAGTTGTAGTGAAGTTTTGAGACAATTGGTGATTGATGAAGACTCTCAACCTTCATTGAGAATCGAGACTATCCATTCAGCTTTCCATATGTTGTGAAGAAACAAGAAAAAAAAGAAGGAAAAACATTTCTCAAATTACCAAGCGAATCGTCTCCACCCCACACGGTCCTTCAATATCTGTTACAAACCAACTTGGCACAATATCCTGAAACAGTTATCAGTGCTCATTGACGATCAACAGCATATTCTATACTTTCGTTAAAAACTGAATACATTCACTGTTTTTCTCTTTGTGTGAAGCATAGAGTCGACCAGTTATGGGACGATTTGAGACCAGCCCAATACGTCCGTTCGAACAGACGGCTCCAATATCCGAATCGACGACACCTACAAAATCTAATTAGCACCTTCAAGTTCTGTTCAGAAAAAACTTTTTCTCAAGGGATTAGTTTTCATGGCTGTTTTCATGAATGACAGTTTAGTTGGCTGACGTCTCCTCAACTGGTAAAACCTCGCTTGTGTCAGTATGTTTGGGGTTATTCTGATGATATCGTTATGATCAACTGTTTGAAACTGAAACAGAGAGTAGGCTGGGGATGTAGTCAACTATACTACCTGAAGAGTAACTCTTATGAAAACGAAAACAAGAAAGTGGATACGCGTCATCATGCTTCACCTTTTCCAATATCTCATAACCTTCTGTAAGATGGATTTGAAATAAACAAGAAATTGCAGTTTGTTGTCCAGAATCTAATTTGCTTGAGCTCATTCGATTAATCAGTTTTCTCAACAAATCTGTCGTTGCAGAACAAAAATAAATGAAATGCGTGTTGCTACGGAAACGTCAAAGAAATTCTGGAAGTTTCAGATGAAAAGAGAGATAAAAGAAACAATTGGTTGTTTGAGGGGACGTTGCAGCTTGCTGTTAAGATGACGATGATGTAGGAGATCATGGAATGACGTCAATCAAGATGTGAGTGGAACACTAGTAACAACTCAATATGGATAGTACAGATACAGGTCGATGATGAAGAAGATAATTTTTAATCCAAAAAAGCCGAGGAAAATATAAGGTTAAGACTGTTGTAGTCAATACATAAGGACATGAGTCAAGTATCCTCGATTGAAACAGCAAATGACGAGACTGGGATTGTATTCACAGTCTCAACTGACAATGAATTATGCGAAAAGGAGTCAGACTCCCAAAAAAACGAACAAACGCCTTAGACGTTTATATTGAAAGAGGATAATCGTAAGAATAATAAGATAAATTATAAAAAACGATCAGAATGAATTGGTTCTTCATTACAAACCGCCAATTTCGAGGGTTCATGTCCCCGATTTCCATTCCTCATCACTGATTAGGAAGGTGTCATTCTAAATACACACACACACACGGATACAGGTCACAAATGAATTTTGAGAACAAAAAAGTAAAATGAAAACATTCGGTCAGTTAGTTCACTCAACGTATAGCTGAAGAAGACGTAAAAGTAATTTTATTCTCAAAAAACTTGACGACGTTACCAAATATCTGAATGAGGTCGTTTGACGCTTTGTAGACGTTACAAAAACCGCTCGAAGTTCAAAAAAACGGTTGGCTTTTGGACAAATTTGAATAATAATGACTTTAGTAGGTTTTATACTTTCACAATTTGCCTTCAACAATCCCATTTGCTATTTCTATTGTTATGGCGAAGACGTTTAGCCTGAATATCCAAAAAAGGAGTTGAACAATGCGCATCCGTAAATCCATCTACACCTCATAACTCTTTTCGCATTCAGAACACCTTTGTTCTGATGGTTTTGTTAATTGCAAAACAAACATACAAAAGTATCATTTGAAGTAATCAACAATAACTTCTGTACTTTAGAAGATCAGATGAACAAAGTAAAAAAAACAGTGCAAAGTACAACCGCCTCTCGTCTGCAGATGAATGAAAATAAAAAACAAACATGTACGCGTGGTTCACGTAAATGACGTGGTTCACGTAAATGACGGAGAGAGGCAAACGAGCAAGTAGTGTGTTAGAAGCGGTTCAAAGATATATTTGGAATGAAGCTTATTAATGAAGCATCGGTTTTTTTGTGAATGCTTATAAAGAAAGGGATAAAATTTAAAAAAACGTGCCACTTCAGATCATCGGGATCTTGTTGAAACATAACTGACCAGTTGGATGTATCTATTTGTATCGGAAAGTTTCCAATATCTTGGTCAAGTGCCGTTATGGAAATGTTGTAAAAGTAAACAATTGAAACGAGTAATCGCTTTGCATGTGGCTAGGGTATGTGTATGTGGCTAAGGTCTTTTTCATCTCATTCACTCATTCAAATCATAAATATCTGTTTTCCTATAAATGTCAGAAATTATGAAAATTTCGAAGGATAGTCTTCTGTTCAAGTTACCTTGCCACCAATAGTACTTGAACTATTGGCGAAGTTTGTATTTGAGAGGAAATGGCATTGTTAACAAACCAGTTTCTTATATCAACTTAGGGTTATCAGCAGCATAAAAGGACAACATCAGTTACTTTCCCATCCATTTCGTTTGCTTTCTCCTGCTGCTGCTCGCAGTAACAACTGTCCGACAGCTCTTATCGTAATAGCCTCAAATCAAGAAAGCATGCTCAATTGGCACCCAATATTATCATTCGAGTAAATTTTTTGAAAAAAAAACCAACATTAAAACCAACAACGACAATTTCCCGTCCTTTTAACGCTTGTTTTTCTTGTTTTCTTCGCCTGCCCAGATCGATAGTCATTCCCATTGGCAGAACAGCAACTCCAAATGTCGACAAACGTTTTTGGTAAGAAGGCCGAAAGCTTTTTCAAGATCATTCGATTGTAGTAAACATGACTACAAACTACATGACTGCCTTAGTTCATCTTAACATCCACTTTCGTTGTGTGATATAACACGAGAGGACGACGTGCCATTTTGCAAGTTGCGATTGGCCAGGTCCAAACCGCATCGGATCAGACCACGTTTCTTACCCCCTTTCATCATCAAACTCTGTTGTCCCAATTCCTTTTTGTCTTTTTTTCTTCGAGTTGTCTTAATGCTCTAGACAAACTCGATGTGCAGGTTACTTATCGATTTGTTTGGACATTTTTGATAAGAAAGTAACGAAAACCAAATAATAGCCATCCATAAGAGAATGTTTACGACTCCCGTTGTTTCACCTTGGACTGTCCCATGTCTTGTGCATGCTCTATTTTTAAACATGAAAAGAAGAAATAAAAGGTTATGATGATGTTACCGGTAACCTCAGTAGTTTTGTTGCTCCCTTGCTGCTTTCACCCAAAGAACATCATGTGCCATTCGAATATTACACACTGCCGAGGTCACTCCTCATTGCCTGTTTTCCAATTTTTTTTCAGTTTCATCTTTTGCGAGATCTTCTAGCATTCTCTTCTCATCTCTGAAAATCTGTGACGTTCTCATTCATTTTTTCGGAATTGCTAGATGGGCTTTTAGCATCATGCCGTGCGAGTTATCGCTGAACTTCCGAAAACAGCAGCCACGTTCCTCCGCAGAATGTTTGTTCTGTGCGTGTTTTTGCATTGATTTTTTTGCAATTTCAGCCAACCAAGAGAAGTTGGTTGGGTTGTTACGTTTGATAAAAATTGCCGAAAGGGTTCAACGGTCGGGAAATCGCAATTTTTGCATTTTCTGTGTGTTTGCGATTGTGTGGGGTTTGTTAGTGTGTTGTGGAATGTGGCCACCGTATCGATCTATTTAGTTCTTTTGATAAGGCCACTCAATAACAACTAAACCGTTTATTTCTTTTTTCGTTTCTTGTCCTTCTCTCTTGGATGGAACATTCGTATTGTTAAAGGTACCAAACTTTCAGATATGTCTGCTCCTCTTCGTGTCTTGGTCACCGGCGCTGCTGGCCAAATTGGATACTCTTTGGTTCTTCAAATCGCCAAGGGAGACGTCTTCGGACCTGTTAGTTTAAGCCACAATCTTCTCATCATCCTTGAGTATTCAGAACACTCCACTCACTCTTGTACTTCTGGATATTCCCCAATGTGCTACTGTTCTTGAAGGAGTTGTCTTCGAACTTCAAGATTGCGCTTTCCCAACTCTCCATGGTTGTTCTCTTACAGCTTCCATTTTGTTACGTTAGTGTTAAGGTGTCGAAGCCGTAACTGATGAGAAGTCCGCTTTCACCGGAATCGATTATGCTTTCCTCGTCGGAGGTAACCTCAAAGCTTTTTATGATATACTCCTTCTGTTGTAGCCATGCCCCGCAAAGAAGGAATGGAACGCAAAGATCTTCTTGCTGCCAATGTCAGAATCTTCAAGAGTCAAGGAAATGCTCTTGCTGAATATGCTAAGCCAACCACCAAAGTCATCGTTGTTGGAAACCCAGCCAACACCAACGCTTACATCTGCGCCAAGTACGCTGCTGGAAAGATCCCAGCTCGCAACTTCTCTGCCATGACTCGCCTCGATCATAACCGCGCCAAGGGACAGGTAACTCGATCATGATATCCTCGTGTCTCATTCGGGCTATTTAAGATTGCTCTCAAAACCGGTGTTCCAGTTGGAGATGTTAAGAACGTAATTATCTGGGGAAATCACTCCAGCACCCAGTTCCCAGATGTCAAGCACGCTAAGGTTCTCAAGGGTTAGTTGCTTAGAGGTTTCAGTTGATCAAACTTTATCTTCAGGAGGTAGCGAAGTTGATGCTTACTCCGCAGTCGCTGATGCCGATTACTTGAAAGGAGCTTTCATCTCTGTAAGATCATAGTTTGGAGTACTATATTGAACTGATTGTCTCCTAGACTGTCCAAAAGCGTGGAGCTGCTATCATTGAGAGAAGAAAACTTTCATCTGCTATGTCAGCTGCTAAGGCTGCCTGCGATCACATCCACGATTGGCATTTCGGAACCAAAGCCGTTCGTGATAACTAGACATTTACTTGTGAGCACATTCATTTAGGGAGAATGGGTCTCTATGGCTGTTCCATCTGATGGAAGTTACGGAATCCCAGAAGGACTTGTTTTCTCATTCCCAGTTACCATCGATGCTAACAAGGTATTAGTTGAATAACTTGAAAGGTGAATCAATAGCTTATCGCTTAGGAATGGAAAATCGTTCAAGGGCTTGAACTTGACGACTTCGCCAAGGAAAAGATCGCCGTCACCACCAAGGCAATCTATATAACATGATAAGTCTAACAAAGCTTTCTATTATAGGAACTCGAGGAGGAGAGAGAAGAAGCTCTTCATGCCTGCAACGCTGCCAACATGTAAATCATTAGCGTCAAGGAAGTAGTAGAGTCCAGTACACGAGGATGGTTCATCCTGTAAATTCTACTAACCATTTGTAGTTCTTAATTTAAAATATTCTCACCGGGTTAGATTAATTCGATATTTATCCGTTTCATTTCGTTTGTCATCGTTTTTTGAAAAAGTTTTATATAAATGGATAGATTGATCTTGTTGATTTACCGAATGATTTCACAACGTATTGCGAATTGTCTATCTTGCTTAGGAGTCAGTTTTTCATCGAATTCTGCTCCGCCTTTGATAATTAGTCCAATGATCCCTTCTGATTTTGTCAAATACTTCTAGTACGTATGTGTTCGTTCTTTCAAAGTCTTGTCTGTATGAAAGGTATCCACAGATGACCTGTATGCGAGCTATGTCTCACACATGCATCTCGCATGAAGAGGAGTCGGCCTTTTTTGGACTGAAATCCCGTTTTTGAAAGCTAGACTTATTTCTTTTTGTCGTCCTAACCAGTCTTACGTTCCTCAATTCTATAGATGTATTGAGGACCTTTATATAAATCAATGTACTCTATGCATCTCTCTAACCATTCCTCAGCAGATTCTCATTACAAATCCAAATTACCGTTGTTTGAGCTTCCCCAATGTTCCAGTGTATGTTTTAATTTGTAGAAACAATTTAGGAAACCTCAGTCCGGAATTGGTTGAGAGTATACTTCTACAGTGTTGAGACGAAAGCACGTGGATGCTATCCATGTGTGCATCTTGCATATAGTAGATCGACTATCAGCCATAAATGTTCAGATGATCTTTGATGACCTGTACCCACGTATGAAGATGGTACTCATTGGATATCTCAATATGCGGTGTATCCCATTCTACAACTTTCTTAATTTTTCACTTCCACAATGTTGTCCCCATTTGTCCGTTGTCCCCAATAGCGTTGCGAGGGTAGCCGTACAGACTCGCAGACTCTCTTCTGTTAGACCTATTTCATTTTTTTTCTTGACTTCTCTTGGGTTAAAGATCATTTCTTTGTTGAGAGACGCGTTTCAGAGAGATAGGATATATAGGAAGGGTTTCCTCTTTGAGATAATGGAGAACTGAGAGAGAATAAGAAAGATACTAAACTCGTGAATTTCGAAAAAAAGTGAGAAAATAAAAACTGTGGTAAGGTATAGGAACTGAAGTATTTCAGATAAGATAAACAACCGTTAGTCCTGTCGCTTTTAGCAGAAATGAAAGTAGGTAAAACGTTCAGCTAATCTGCGCTCCACGTGACATTTCACGTATTCCAATTTCGCAAACAACAATCACATTTTTCAATCGGCTGTGGGTACCACATAGTGTATCTTCAAATCCTCTTATCAATGATATTTTTTTGCTATTTAACGCTTATGCTTCTATTGCTGATGGGTATCCTGGATTTACGAAACAACCTTGACCTGTATTGGCTCAGCCCCTCTCGTGCCTACAATCGTCGAATACTGACATCAGTGAAGACGCTGCCCGCTACTTTCTTTTCTTCTCTCTATTCTACGCATGCATACGCACACATTACCTGTATAACACAATTGGAATCTTGTTTTGCAGTTCGTTTGTTAAGTATGGTTGGACGGACCGTACAGTCACAACATTAATTGCACCGGCCAGCAATTCCTGAGAAATGTATCGAACTGCAAACTTTTTCATGCTTCGCCATGATTGCGCGTCCAATGAGATTCGACGGTTTTCTTCTACAACGGATCTATCTTTTTTATTTTCTCTTTTCCCCATTTGAAAAAGTGATACTCCTTCAGTATTGTTTTTGAATGGCCATATTTCTTTTCTCTCTCAGTTTCTTTTCTACACTGTCTACAATGACTTCCTCAGCTTTTCTGCTAAGTTTCTCGCTTTTTCTATCTGCAAGCAAGTTTGGGCAGATCATACACAAGAGCGTCCTTGTCGACAATCGCTAGACGACGTGTCATTATGCCTCTGCACCGGGGCTTGTTGACCTGTTGACCATTCTATCGATGTTCTTCTTCGACCCGAATCTGTATATTTTGTATTAATAACTATGCATCGTTCATGTTTCTAATATGTCTTTTAGTCAACATTCAGCCCCATAGTAATAATTCAGGCAATGCGGCTTCTTCCTTTGGTTTTCGCCTTGGTCTGTACTGTTTCTGCTGCCGGGAAATCCTCCCGAGCGCTCATTCCATTGCATGAAGATAACTGGACTGAAATCATGAAGGGAGAATGGATGGTGGAATTGTAAGTTGAATCATTTCATTCATACCTAATTCACTATGGGTTGACCTTAAAAACTCAAAATTACCAATAACATCATTATCTTAACAATTACAACAATGAATGAAAACGAATAAATAGTCAGAAAGCAAAACCGTTTTGCTTTTTGAAGTTTCTTGTTGTCATTAATGTCTGACAGATTAAGTTCTGACAAGTTTTTGTAGTTCAAGCACATCTTTTGAATTCCACAAATCCTTGTAATTGCCTTTTATCGTTCGAATATTTCGGAAAAGATGCGAGAAGGATTGAGATTCCTTTCTTCCGGGTCTACAAACTATCTTTGTTAATCAGCTATGAAGAATTGTTTCAGCCACGCACCATGGTGTCCTGCTTGCAAAGATCTGCAAAAGGCTTGGAATGCTTTTGCTGATTGGTCTGAAGATTTAAACATTAAGGTAAGATATCGCAAGCATCTTCATTCTTCAATTGAAATCTATTAGGTTGGAGAAGTTGATGTCACCATCAACCCTGGTCTCTCTGGCCGTTTCTTGGTAACTGCTCTCCCCACCATCTATCAGTAATCTCGTTTTCTACATACTCTTTACTTACATATTACTCTTATTAGCGTTAAAGACGGAGTTTTCCGTGTCTACAGCGGATCCCGCGATAAGAACGATTTCATTTCATTCGTTGAGGATAGAAAATGGAGAGCTATCGACCCAGTTCCCGATTACAAGCATCCAAACAGCAAGCAGTTAGCTTAAAAGAATTTCTACTTTTTTTATTACCAATTTAATTTCGTCAGAATGGCTGTTGTTGCCGTCTTTTTCAAACTCTCCATGGCCGTCCGTGATCTTCATAACCACTTGGTCGAAGATCGTGGAGTTCCATCATGGGCCTCTTATTCATTATTCGCTGGAGTTACCCTTGCTCTCGGATGTATTTTGGGCTTCGTATGTGTTTTTTATGCTCGAGCCATTTTGCAAAAACTCCTAATTTAGTTCATTGTGCTCATTATTGACCAAGTCTTCCCAACTGGTAAGCGTGTAGCCCAACAGCCAAAGAAGGATGCCAAGAACGGAACCAACAAGAAAGGTATCCCCACACATGGAGTATGATGTCTTATCAATTTATTTCCTTCAGAACAAAATGGTGAAGCTAAGAAGAAGGAGGCAGCTCCCAAAGAGAAATCTCCAAAGACTGAAAACAAGAAGACGAAGTAAAAGTTACTGACCAAACTAGATCTCGAAATTTATCAACTTTTGTCATATTGGGTCAGATTTTGAAGGTTGAAACTTCTTCCACAAACGTTCAAGTCTATGTCGCTTTCCCCTTTCTTCCAGTTTGTTGATTTTTTTTGTCTAAGTACTTGTTAGTTTCTCGAACATTTCAAAAGTGGAAGACATCCAGAGTTTATTGATAACTATTTGCTCACATTGTGTTGTGAATCTAAACCTAAACTATTCCAGTAATCATAGGTTGTTTACTATTTATGCGTGTTTATTAAATATTACGGATATAATGAGAATGAGTTAAGATACGTATTCTCACTCACTTAGTTATTTACCAATGCCATGGCAGCGAACGAAGTGTTGCTCAATTTATCCATCAGGTGTTTACAAGCAGCACCTGCATCCTTAACCAAAGATTCTGGTGTAGTTGTTCCAATCAGTCTCGGGAACGGTGCTCTTGAATCTGTAATATCGAGCGTTCTAATAATTCTGCTGCTATGAGACGGTAACGCCAAGAGTGCTCGTGATCAAGATCACATTCTATTTTTAATTTTGGGAAGAATGACGTCGAGAGCGGTTGTATGAGGTTCGACTCACCGAGTTCATATAGGTTTCCGTTCTTGTTCACATAGCAAATGAAATGGTGCTCAACACTCTCAGGTTGAGATGATTCGCCTTGTTGAGCCGTTTCAGCGTGAGCAGTAGCCAAGGCTTCGTCTATGAATAGATGTCAAATCGGAAGACAAACTAGATTCTTACTTTTAGCGAGCAGATCTGATCGCTCATCGACGCTTGCACCCTTAGCTTGTTTAAGCCAATCTGCGAAACAGCCAGTTCCTTAAAAATTCAAGTTTTAACAAATCATAAAGCTTATTTTTACCCAGGTCCACAAGTCCTTCAAGATTAGCCAGGGCGTGGAACAAGGCAAACGTTCCACATGCATTTGATATTTTCTGTTTCATAAAGAAGACATCAGGGAATTCAGTTTTTCCTTCTTTTTTCAAATTCTCATAAATAGGATTCATGATTTCATCAACCTGCAGATTCGAGAATCAAAAGAAAAACTTCTTTCACGTACTTTCTTGTATTCCGGGAAACAAAGAATCATTGCGAGTTGTCGCTTGGGAATGAATTGCAGAACATCGTCATCGAAAGAAAAAACATCAACGCATTCAGTTCCTTTGACTCCAATTTTGGAGAGATACTGCAAATATAGAATACACGTCAAAACTTGAGATCGAAAACTTACAGTGTTGATAGTAGCAGGATTTGATTCCAAAGGAGCCCAGACGACTTGCGACATATCAAACTGAAAATCACGTCACTGTTTTAGTATTCATAGAAGCACAAGACACAGAACTGTAGAAGATGGCTGGGAGCGAGCTTCCATTCCAACAACAACGATTAAAATTGAAAAAAATTGAAGAGTGAGAGATGAAAGTTATAGCAAGCGAACTATACGACTATTCGTTTGCTACTAGTAACGTTCCTCCAATGGAAAAGGGACGGAGCTGGTAGCGACTGGCACAATCAATAGCAGCTAGGCGGAACCACCCAATTAATGGGATAATTAAACCTTAAAAAAATTCAGTAATTTTTTATATTTTCCATGAAATGGAGTAGAGGATTGGAAGCTCAATTAGTTGATTATAGTTGAAACATGAAGGTATAAGATGATAATCTTTCAAAAACCTGTGAGAATGGGGTATGGCAGTGGTGTTTTTGAGGGGATTGCAAATGAAGTTATTGATTTTGGTGGAGTTTGGGTACTCTAATGACCAATGGTCGAATAAACTGACCAACAACAGAATGGAAAAAGAAAAAATTATTTTCAAAATAGAGGGTTATGACCAATAACGAATTGGAGATAACGTATATGTGTTTGTGTTGGTGATGCCGAAGACAGCCGCTCACTGGAAAGAAGTATTTAGAAATGAATGAGTCTGAAGTCATTTTGAGTTCAACTTACGTGAAGAACGGTTGTTTTCTTCTGCCACAAGAGGGGTCGTCGTAGACTCGTCCTATATTTTCATTTTTTTTCATCATTTTCTGACTTCTCTCAAAATTACACTCTCAAAATTTGGTTCATGAAGGTGTTTATACAAACCTACGTTCCAGATGAGAAAATGTGGTTCTTCGACTGTAAGTGCTGGTTTGTTGACTCCATACTTTCCAAGTAATTGGTGAGTGTAGGGGAGGCATGTAAGAATAGATAAGATTTCTAGGAAGTACACTTCCAGGTAGTTTGACAGCAACTTTTAAAGAAGCGATCCGGAGTCTCCACTTGCTCACGTAAGCAACCTTTCCATTCTAGTTTTGATTGTTCGAGTGCTACATAAGAACTTCAAATAATCTCGAAACTACATTTCCGTGTGGGAATTAATTAAAATCTATGCGTTTTCTCATAAAAATGTATATTAAGAGAATCAGTTGTCGTAGCTATGTCTTCAACATGGTTATAGAAGGTGTAGATGATCATAAATTGAAACGTGTGAAATTGACTTGGTATATAAGCCGATGAAACTGAAACATCGGCTCATATTCTCTATCTGTTGTAGTTTGTAGATGTTTCAATTAAGTTTGTTTTCCGTACTTGATACTATGATTTAGATGAAAATCAACAATGAAGGATGGACTCCATTGGAGTCCAATGCTGCTACTTTCAACATGGTAGCTTCAAATGCTCATCACGATCATAACTCAAATCATTTCAGTTCCTTTCCAAAACTGGGGTGAAAGGAGTAGAATGCATCGACGTTTTCTCTTTCGATGATGAGGTCATACAATTCGTTCCCAAACCTCAACTGGCGATAATATTCTGCTTTCCTGATTACAAGATGGTAAGTACCAATAGATCTCTAGGAACGGTCGACATACATGAAATGTGGCTGATCGAGATCTTTCAGATTGAGAAAATCCTAAACCCACTCTATGAGGAACTTCGGAAAGAAGGCAAGATGGATTTCCCAGAAGTTTTTTTCATGAAGCAGAAAGTTGCACACACTGACAGTGTCTTTGCTCTGTTTCATGCAATCGCCAATCTCGAGCAAATTGTTGACACAGGTTGCATGGATTCAAAATATTTAATTGGACTTTCTTTCTATTGTAGGAAACGAATCCTTTGCTCAGTGGCTCCAACAAGCAAAAGCTACCAGCATTGATGATAGAGCTGACCTGCTTCACAAAAGTGATGAAGCTACTTGTTTCTTTGAATAAAATGTTTCTTAAGGTGAAGCACTGGCAGAAGCTTATGCTGAAACTGTTCAACGTGAGGATAGTCCTCAGTCTGAGAAAGAAGAGCGTCATTTCATTTGCTATGTGAACAAGAACGGAAACCTATATGAACTCGGTGAGCTGAACTTCAAACAACCACTCTCTACGTCAGTTTTGATAAAAATAAAAATCATATGAGGTGGCATGTGATTGTGCTCACGACCAAAGTTGAAAACGTCATTTGGCTAATCACTTCTCTCTAGATTCTCGAGCTCCTTTCCCACGGCTAATTGGAACAACTTCAACCGACACACTTGTCAAAGATGCTGGAGAAGCTTGCAAAGGATTGATCAAAAGATTCAAAAAAACCAACCTATCTGCTATGGCGTTGATAAAAACTCTCTAAGTCCCTTTCTTCGTTTGAGTTTCCATAAATGATTAGTGCTGGATAATAAGTACCCCTTGTTATGCCATACTTACACCGTAGTCTTTGTAATTGATTAACGACCTGATTTTTAAATAAAGATTTCCAATTACGCATTACCCAAACTTGTACGCTAGTGCAGAACAAGAAACCTCGATTCGATGTTGCCTGAAGTGATGAACTTCTGATCTTCTGCAAGTTGAAGTTGTAGACTTCTGATCTTGGAGGAGTTGATTTCCTCATTTAGAAAGGGGCGAATGGGCAACCTCCAGCATTCCTTGTGTTCTTTACTTCTTTGTCTGACTTCACATAGGGCTGCATGTTTTGCCTTGTAGAGAACATGTTTGTTTTAATCCTCATCAAAGAAAAAATGTTTTATCGAATGTTGAAACTCTACAACACTAATGAGGCTGTTGAAGAAAGAGAAAACAAATTAAGGAAACTATAAAGCCCAGGATTTTCAATCCGCAGCTGAAATCAAGATACCTTCTCCTGAGCAGTAGAACCTGTAACTCCCAACGACTATAGTCTAATCATGACGATCACACCTCCACTGAAACATTTCTTAAAAACAATACGATGCTTCTAAAGTCGAACTTACGAGTGTGTTTTCCTCTTGATTGAGGACTACAAAGAGAGGAAAACCTTCACCTGAAATATCTCGAATACCTATGTTTGAGCCTACACCAGCTTGAACTCAGGGAATCTTGGTAACAGAACGCAGGGAGGACAGTGGAAAATTAGTATAGACAAGATTTTTAGATAAACAAAAGTGTTCTCCAAAAGCGGTGTGCAGTACGTAACTTCACGTATACTTGTACAAATTAATTATAAAAAGCATTACAATGTCACGAACACAACTATTGCGGGGATAAGTCTGTAGGAGTTTGACGATGGGAATCAAGCGTTTCACTCGAGCATTGCCAACTTCAAATTCCGGGAACCATTTCAATAGGGAAATTCATATTCCAAGAATGTCCAACACAAGTAAGTTATATAATGGAATAAGTGTAAAATCGCGTTTTTGTAATGTTTGTAATGGGTTAGCGACCGAATATGGTATAAATAAAGATTATAATTGGTTGACATGTCTTCATTCTTCGAGAACACGTTGCTTTCGTTTTGAATTTTTACTGAAATGCTTATTGAGCAGTTAACGAACGAAGTTTAGAGTGCTTGCCTGCTTTGAACAATGTCCGATCCTACTTGGTCAGCACTGGAATCCAATCCAGAAACAATCAACCAGGTAAGTTCCATAACTTTGATTGTTGTTTATATGCGTTATTAAGTTCCTTCAAAGAATTGGTGTGGATAGCCTCGAGTGTGTTGATGTCTTCTCTTTTGATGAGGAGATGCTGGCTTTTATCCCTGCTCCACATTTAGCTTTGATTCTCTGTTTCCCATATGATGAGGTATTTATATCTTGAACTGGATTCTTTGATTGATTTGATCAGGGCAAAGATGTTGTTGCTGAGTCATATGAAGTTCAGAAAAAACTTGGCCGTCAGAAGGACCAAGAGGATAAAGTCTTCTTCATGCACCAGAGAATTCACAATGTTTACCTTCACTAGAGAGTTACAGTTTTTAAAATCTATTTCAGGCTTGTGGAACCTTCGCGTTGTTCCATTCACTTGCAAATCTTGACGAAGTTGTCGATCTTGGTAAGTCGTTATGTTAACTCGTGGATCACGTGTCCTCCGACTCACTCTTTGCAGGAAAAGGATACTTCCGTAACTGGCTTGATAAGGCTGTTGACAAAAAAGAAGATGAAAGATCCGATTTATTAGCTGCTGGTAATGTGCGATCTTTGAGGTTGAAGAGAGAGAGCTATGTACTCAGATGGCGACTTAGCTGCTGCACATGAACAAGCAGCTGCTGACGGTGACACTGAGCAATCGGAGAAAGTCCCCTACCATTTCATCACATATGTTTCCAAAAATGGAAATCTTTATGAAATAGGTCGCTTGATGTTTTGTTTTCACCTGAATGAATGATTTTTCAGATTCGTCATCGCCAGGACCTCGTTTCATATGTCCTACGACTTCAAACACTCTTTTGAAAGATGCTGGAAAAGCTATTAACGAGTTAATGGAGAAAATCAAAAGTCCATCTTTCGCTGCCATGGCTCTTGTTGGCAAACAATGAAAGCAAAGGGACAGTGTTATCAAATCATCAAATAATCAGTTCAGCATTATGTATATGAAAGGTCTTAACTGATAAATAAAATTCGACGACGTCTAGTTTGTATGATTTTCCCATTTTGTTTTTGGTCACTTCAACTACATGCCTTTTCACTGTCTTTGAACTATTTTTCAGTTTCAGTTATAAGTGTGATGACAAACTTGCGACGTCGGAGATAAGTGACGTGATGTTTTTATATCAGAAGACGAAATAGAAGAGAAAAGAGCGAGGGAATGTGAAGTCCGAAGCCTGATCGAGCCTGCCCGATATCACACGTGATGAACTGGTTTCGCTTTTCCTCAAATAACTTGGGTGAGTTGAGTTTACCGTTTGTTGTCCGGCTGTGATCTTCTGGGAGGTATCACGTGTGCTGATGCTGATGATGGTGATGATGATTAGGGGGAGGAGTCTGGCCCCTCCTTTAGGCCACCATAAACGCTGCGCTCAACTTCATCAGTATCTGAATGAGACCACGACAGAGAGTGTGGTTGAAAACGAGTTTCCGTGCCACTATTTGACGCCTGTCGTCTTCTCTCGCTACTTCTCAGTGGGAACTTCTGAAAGCAACCTTCCTCTTCTCAAATTATACTTGTGCGCCCAACTTATACGTTTCTCTATTGTCTTCTCGCAATTCCAACTTTGTTTTTTATGGTTCGTCGTCGTCAACGACTTCCTTCTGCAATTCACCTTATTCGGTGGTTTTCCCAACACATCGTTTCGGTTTGACTACCACAACAGCCTCGTGCCGTCGTTTGGACGTTGGCATTGTTCTTTTTTTTCTTCGGCTACTTGTCATTTCCATAAATTCTTATCAATTAACGACGCGTGCTGTTTTCAGATGAAACTCTCATCTTCTCTTTCCACGCTTATTAGCGAATGGGTGGCTTTACAAAAGTCGCCTGATGCCCGAATCTCATCGCAGTCCTCCAGTGATATTCGACATGCCATCGCGGAAGAAAAACGTGATTATTTTCTCAGAATGAAAGAAGAAGTTAGTTTCTACATTCAAACCTTGCATCATCTTGCTTTTACAGGCTTTATCAGTCGGACCACCTAGATCCAGATGTGTTTCTGAAACACATGCATCAGAGCTTCAGAAAGAAAAAGAAGATTCCATTGGTGGAAGTATGCGAACCAGCTCAAAAAGAAGACCAACTGACCGTCCGCATAGCATGTTCGAAAGAATTCGAAGCAAAATCAGTCCACCGAGAGAAAAAGACGACGTATGTTCTTTCATATCAACTAAAAAAATGAGAGAAAGATTAATGATATGTTTAGAAGTTGTTGATCTGATTTATTCCAGGTGATAAATGAAGAAGAAGAAGCTTCAGAATACTCAAGGAAGTGTTCAACAGTCATTATCCAGCCGTGTGAAACATTGAATATCGTTATCGTCTAAGCGCCTATCCCACAGACGACACAGTTTATTCATTCTCATGTAAATACTTGATCTCGTTACTCACATAAAGATATTTTATATTCAAAATATGTTTTCAATTGATATGGGTTGTGTTGATCATCCGACTTTCTATTTCCACCCCCTCCCTTGCACCAACAACGTTATTAACAGTGTCAAGTAGTTAGCTCTTGTGGCCTGAAGTCATGTCTGACATACCCCTGCGAATCGCTCTTCTAACAGGTTGTTTTTACACACTTCCAAAATAAAATTTTGATTCCATTTTAAAAGAAAACTGTTAGAAACCACTTGTTCTCATGTAATCATTCATCATGGTTTTTATTTTAAGTAAGCGACACACGTGATCCGAAAAGTGACTTAACAGCTCCGGCCGTCAAGGTCTGTATACAAGAAAGCTTGTAAGTTCGTCGACAACAATCTGTCATCAGACACACATCTTCACGTGAACAAAAAATATAAATTCCTTTCTTTTCTGAAATACTTTCGAACTGCTTTTTGTTTTCAGTTCAAATGAGCAGAAGGTTGAATTCCAATATGACATTGTAAGAGATGAGAAGTCTGACATCGTTGAAAAGTTGAGGAATTTCTCCAAAACTGCGGGTACGTTGAAATGAACCAAGGGACCTTGACTAAGGTCTCCAAAATTCTCTCGACTGATATACCTTCTCGATCCTAGCCACGGGCTGAATGTTCATCATGAATGCTATGTTTTCTGATGTCTAGATTGGATCTAGATCTATGTGTATCATGTCAATGACATTCATCAAGAAAAAAAATTTTCTGAACTTTTTCAATTTTTTTTCGATTTGCAGACGTTATTCTGACTCTGGGGGGCACTGGATTTGGTTCACGTGATGTGACTCCTGAGGTAAATTATATCGTTCGATCTATGATTTAAGATATTTAGTCTTTGGATGTTCATCCAATGCGTACATGTGAATGTGCCAATTAGTTTCTTGATTTCAGGCCACTTTAGAAGTCATAGAACGTCGTTGTTCTGGCTTGGAAGTTGCTTTGCACACTCGTTCTTTGGAGGAAACACCTATGGCTGCCCTGTCAAGAGCTGTAGGCAAGTTGACGACTACACTATACAAATGATTCGATTACCTGAATCAATTATAATCAAACTTTGAGCTTCAACGTTTACAACTTCCAGTTGTGCAAAAATAAGACGGAAATGTAAAAAAAGGCTTTTTGAACTTGATGCGGTAGGATAGTTCGATATACTTTCCTTTCTGAAATGCTGAATTACATGGTTAACATGTTGAAGGGTGGAATCATCCATCACGAACTTGTCAGCAGTTTTGCGTTTCAGATTCTTCAAATGTCATTTTCATGAGCATTTATCAGTTTAAGGAAGTTGATGATTGTCAGATTATGAAATATTAGCTTTTATTGAGATTCTTAAACACCTATTCACTTTCAGCGGGCATATACGGAAATACCTTGATTGTCAACTTTCCCGGAAGCCCGAAAGCTGTTCCTGTACGTTGTTTACCGTATTATCTATTTGCATTAAGTCACGTTTCTCACGTGAACGTGAAAATTAGAATTTTACATGACGTGAATTTTCATTTAACATTTGACGCGTGCCAATGCTTGTTATTTGTTGAAAAGCATGTACGCAGAGCGGTTGCATTCTACTACTGGTACAAAGCGGTTGCATTCCATTCCAGCTTCAGAATGATTGCATTCCACGAATACGAAATCGCATTGTGAGTATAATAGTGTTAATTGTTACTTTTCAGACATATTGGAAAGTCTTGAAGCCAATCCTTCCTCATGGAGTTAAACTGTTACGAGGCAACGACGTGACTGAAGACCATGCGAAACTTCAGGGAAAGTAGACGAGCGTCATCGGAAGTCATCCATATTGCTCAAGGGACATGTTGTGATTTGGAAACCTCTTTCTTAATTCTTTTCATAAAATTTTAAAATGAAATATGCTTTGTTATTGTATAACGCAATGATGTACCTAGACATATCATATAATTTCAATTAAAAACAGAAGGATGGATTTTTGATCATGAAGGTTAACAACCCATGCTCTTTGACATTACAGTATCATCTGCACTTGATTTATGTATATGTGAGTGTTCTTTTATGTCATTTTTTGGAATAAATGAGTAAGACACATATAGGGTCCTTGAGTTTTGTCATCCAAATGACTCAAACATCTAATTGGATAATTCGGCTTCAGGCTGAGAGCGGATCATCTGATGAAGTACATTAACCATCCAATCAACGACTTCTCTAAGTCTTTCAAATTCTGAACAGTTACAAAGATGACGTGATTAGCAATGCTGAAAATCACGTACACATCCTAATAAGTACTTGCAAATTTGTTAATTTACAGACACTATTTGAAGTGTTTGTATGACATAATGTGATTAGCCGTACTTTCTCTTGTATGGACAACCTCCTTTTTTGTTTCATGTCCTCCTATATAAGAGGAAGAGTTCCTCAAAAAAGCGTTGATGACAATAGAAGACGATGTCGACGTTGCCAATACACGTACATGTTGTCTTCTTCATCATCCTATCATTTCTTCATAATCTACAGCTGTTTCTCTCTCTCTCTCTCTCTCTCTCTCTCTCTCTCTCTCTTTCTCATTCTTAATAAGAAGAGTGATTAACTGGAAGCATTTTTACTTATCAAAGAATTTGTCTGCTGCTGCTTCTGACCTTGGTCATCACCATCCGTTTTTTTTATTAACAGAGACATCTCTCATTGAACTATCACTTTTTCTTTTTTCTCTCTTTTTTTTGATAAAAAAAATGACTTTGTAATTATGATTGAACATTGACATCCATCAATCTCTTCCAGCTCATTTTTATTGAAAAAAAAGTTTAAAAAAAGGCGACGAAAGATGCGGTCAATCAACCTTGTCATTAAGCATCGATGAAGCTCTTCATCATATTTCTTTCTGTACTCTTATCTTTCTTTTTTATTTTAATAACTACTATGTCATAATCAGAACCAGATGTTATGATTTGCTAAACGGGATAAGTAAAGCTGACCTTACCTATTAGGAGATGTTTTTCTCAAAGAAACTTTTTATTTGAAAATTGGAGATCAATCAGCTCTTTCACCTATTCATTCTCTCTCTTACTCTCTTTCTCTCACCCTTTGTCTTCCCTCTCTTGCCATCCTCTCTCTCTCTCTCTCTCTTCATCATCATCTGAATTCGTCATTTCTAATCTTAGCACTTGTACTCTGCGACGATCATCTGTTTCTCTCTATAAATAGAATATTTCAGATAATCGAAAGAAGTTTAAAATTCCAAAAATGACTCTGAAAGAATCACTTGCCAACTTGATAGCTGACTTTGCTGGAATGAATAAGACGCCTGATTTCAAACCAACAAATGCCACATTGAAAGATCCATCATCTGAGCCACATCAGCATTTGTATCAAAGAAATCAGAGGAGTACTCTGAATAGTAGTACGTCTCCGCACTACGCACAACATCGTCGGAAGTCTGTACAAATCATCATTGGAGCTGTAAGTTGTCCTATTCATAAGTGAAAACGGATTGTTTATGTGACATCCATTCGACCTTACCTTTACCTGAGTTTCAACTCAACTTGAACCTTAAGGTAGAAGAGTCAAAAAACATCTTTGTGATGACAATTTATCGAAAAAACAAATAATTTTGACAGTTTTTTCGGTCTTCTATCTATGAGAAACGACACAAACATTTTCATTTTTTCTTTCTCTTCTCCTCACCCTTCGCGGCTTTTCTCAAACATGTTGTGTTTGTGTTATGACCGTAGATGGGCAAGAAGAGAAGAACCAGTTCATTTGCCTTTCATCTGATGTGACTCAACGAAAAAAGTTTCAAAATTTCTTAAAACAATCACATTTCTGTCCTATCCACTACCTAATAGGATGAACAGAAGACACAAGACATGAAAATAAGAAAATTCAAATGAGCTATTTTTAGGAAGAACTACCAGTCCTCAACTCACAACGATCTGGTTCTGATGTCTCTCCAACATCTGGCAATCCCGATAAATATGTTAAAGGGCAACGAAGGTAGTAAATGCTTGTTTAAGCGTTGACATGTTTGAGTGACGATGTATGTTTCAGATGCTCTGCACCCTGTCTCGAAACTCACGCTAACTTGATTAAATTGAAAAAACAATGGAGAAAACTGAGTGACAGCGGAGAAAGTAGTATTTCTGAAGAGGTAATACCATATATGAACAATGACAGATGTAACAAACAAATTACAGGAGGAAGAGAAGACTCCTACACATGAACCACTCACCTATCGAGTATGAAAGAGCTGTCGTGATGTTTAGAGAACTGCTATGATAAGCTGATCCAGATGGATTCGTTAGAAGAACCAGGAAGTCATCTCTTTCAGTATTCTATTCTCTCATTGTTCTCCCTTCTATTACCCCCACATCTTCTCACTTCCTTCATCTCCTGTAAACCTGTTGGTTTCGTTCATCCATTGCAATATTCCAGACAAAAAATAATTTTATTTTGTGTTTTGTACCAGATGAGTTGTATATACGATAGAAAGGAAATAAACCATTATCACAAGATCATTTCTTTCATACAAAATATTTTTTCAAAGAATGACGTAGAAGCTCAAAGAAGGTAAACGTTAAGGCCATCATACACGGAATGTATCAAAAAACTAATAAAACCATAAGGCACTGTTAAGGTTTGAGAATAATGAGAAGCATTGACTTGAGAGTAGTCAAATGGCTAGTTTGGCCCATATGAGGTAGATGCTTAATCCATTTATGGAAAAGGAAAGAAGAAAAATGATGTACGAATAGTCTATATACCATATATGGAAATCTTTACATAAATAGAATTAGAAGTGTTTCATAGAAATGCATGTTGTGTGTTTGAACCTGGATGCTTCTAGATAGATGAATACCCGATGAATAACAAGGGAAAACATTCTGATGAATCTCTCTCTCTGTCTGTGTTAATCCTTTGATTTGGCTGTGTAATACATCCAATAGATTAAATTACAGAAAGTGAAAGTAATTGGAAAAAGTTTCTGACAGAACCTGCAAGAAAATGGAAGAAAAAAACAATTTTCGCTTTCGTTCATTTAGCAACTCACCTATCTAACTCTTCTCCTGTCCATTTTTGGAATAGCTTTCCAGAAACTAATCGTCTTCGTCTTTTGCGTGAAGCACGTCGTTGACGAACAAACACGAGCATCTGAATTTGTAATATGTTGATTGTTTTGATCTTTCTCGGTCTCACTTGATTATTCGGATCTTCGCTCTCTGGATTCCTTTCGTCTGTCGGCGGTTTGGGGGCTGGACACTCAACATATGTTCTGAAATGAGTCAAGTGATACAAGCATTATGAAGTTATGATGTGCATACCTATCATTCCAACCTTCTTTCCAATCCCCTTCCTCCGGAGATGCACAATTCGATTCAGAGAACTGTGGCCTTCCTGGTCCATAACCTGATTTGAAGCTCTTAGTAGAGAAGGTACGTTGAAAGACATTCTTCTGAATTTCATCATCGGTCATGAAGTCGTCGTAACTGGAAATACATAGAAATGAGTAAAATGAGAAATATCTCAGGTATTCATTTACGATCTCTTTTTCTCTAATGTTCCAACAACGGCAAGTTCAACGATTGATAGAAAGATGTAACCAACACATCCAAACATGAAGAGATCGAGACCTTTGACATATGACACCTGGAATATGAAACAGTCACTGTCTTGTCTTCATAAATCTTCATTTGCTTGCAGTTTATGTGAAAGCGTGGAGATATGGTTCGTCGCAAGACGATAAGATCAGAAAACAAGAAGCAATTGAGGATTTTCAATGTCAAAAGAACGATGATGATGAGATGTGGTAATCTGTTTGAAAGCTTAAAAAACCGGTGATGTCGGCGTGATTGGTGACAGTTCAAAAGACAGTTGAAGGGTAACAAAAAATATTTTTTTGTTGTTTGTTTCTTAGGGGGGTGAACAGCGTACTTGAGTGATTCACATACCGATGGTAGACTATACTCACTAGTTGGATCCTTGAAAAAATTAGAAAAAGGGTTTTGAAAGGAACAATATTGAGTATGGAAAGCAGAGGGAATGTATGTGACTTTCAATAATTAGGATGAGATTGAAACAAGTGAATACCTTAGGCAAACTACGTGCCACATTGGAATATTGAAGTGTGAGAGCCATCAAAGATGAAACACCTAATGTGACGCGAGCAGGTAAGCTCTTCCTAAAAACAAATTCGATTAAAACCATTCTAAAAGTCACAACTAAAGGAAAAGAAAGGGAAAGTGCTGAGAGGGAGAGGTGTTAACTAAGTGAAAGTGTTAGGAAATGAACGTAGCTTGACCTATCGAGCCAAAATGAAATCCATGAAATCAGAACCATACAGTATGTTGGTAGATAGATTTGTAGAATATAGAAACCATATGATCGTCGAAAGAATAATTTGATATTCAACTGAAACAACAAAGAATCACTTATGTATAGGAAAAAGCATTTCAATCAACCGCATCACACGTGCAACGTATTGTGAATGACGTTGCGTTGCAGACGTAGATACGTGAGTGACGTACACATCCACGTAAACAACTTGATTATGCTAATACAGCAGAGCAATAGCTTTATGCTAATTTCTCACCTGATCCCATACTCCTGCCGGATATTGAAATGTTGCTTTTTCGTGTATAAATGTTGTCATATGAAAGTCAGGTAACTTGACTTCATCAATGAATTCCACCGGTTGGCCCTGCCGCTTCCAATGAAGTCGAACCTGTAATCATAAATATAAAAAAATAAATAATATTTGTTTAACTATATGATATAATTAATGATGACATATATGTGTAAAGCCTACCTTTCCAACATTGAAAGAATAACTTTCGAATATAGTTGTACACATAACTCGATCCATGGGAAAGAAACTGAAAAGACAATGATGATATGAGAGGCTTCAGATGTATAGACGTTTACCTGAAATCCATTTCACATGGAGATTCAACTACTATCCTATAATGATTGAGATGATTGAATGACTTGTTGATATGATATAACTAACCGGTAGTTCATCCAAACTGTTCCATTGGGGAATATGGCTAAGAAGATATTCGGTGTCGGACTTTGATGAATTGAAGATCCTTTAAGTACAAATGTCATACACAGATGATAGTAGAACAGGAATCACCTTTACTATTGACTATGCACACGTTCGGTAACCATATATGATCAACCATTCTATGTGATAGAGACAAATTTGTTAAACAGTGAGCTCCCTCTTCATGCTCAAACGATAAACCAGGATCATGCCAGATTTGCGAAAACAAGATGTGCATAGTTGAAGCTGATTGAATTTCAGATATTTCAGAAACCCGTTGGATAAGAAGCTGAAACAATAAAAATGTTTGCAGGAATGTTGAGCAGTGTTCAAACCTCAACATCCACATCAACTCCTTTCATCTTCGGTACAAGATTCCGATCATACTTTGCCAGCAATTCAGTCAATATTCTGTATAAGATAAACATATGATAACAGGTGATCCGTATTCTGAAAGAATCACCTAGTTGCAGCTTTCTCTGCTTGCCCCAGAACACAGAATGGCTCCTCTGATGGATCATTCAGGGCTGTAGGTGGAGGAGACACCACTGTAAAGAAATCAAAGAATCAGTCTCATTCCACTTCGGTATGGTACTTTGACAAGTTCCATTGGGCAAGTTCATGAATCCTTCTCGACATTCGCAAGTGCGTTGACCATCTTGCCATAGTTTGCAATATGAAGAACGTAAATCACATTTTCCACACTCTAGAACAGATAGAAATGATATGAATGAAGGGAGATGTGTGTCTTACCTTCATCTAATGCTGCTACCAGAGAAACAGTGAAAGTTAAAATGAAGGTAAATGCCATCAATATGCAAGTATCATCGACGTATGATCCAACTATTCATGCGTTTGTTTATAGTTTCTATAAGCATACCAAATGAGGCAATACAAGAGTTAACTATGTAGGCGAGATGACGAAAGTGCTCAGCTAAAGATGGTCAGCTTCATGCCCTGAGGCATTGAAGACTTAAACTTCCAAAAATACTTTAGAAGCTTAATGCTTCTTGCAGTAGTACGCATAGTAATCACAGAACGCAATCATGTCATAAAAAGGGAAACGGACAAAAAAGCAAATCAATTAAGAAGTTGATTGAAGGATGAAGCTGATGCAAGCAATACGTATGAGCTTCAATCACATATGCAGCCGTCAAAGTTTCAGAATCTCCAAGTGAGTTTCTAAAAGTTTTATGAATCATCTGCATACATAGAGCCACAAAATCATTTTCGTTTGGGAGGGAAATAGAAAAAATAAATTTTTTTAGTTTTCATGTTCAACTAAGCTTCATCATGTTCAAAGCTTAGATGTATTTGGTTTTAATAGAAGAAGGAGTTTTGAAACATAGTTTATGAATAGATGAGTTGTTCTAATTATAACAAAAGCTTAAGAACTTTTGAAAGAGGGAAAGCTTCTTCTCTCTCAATCATTTGAACTTTCTAATAGCTTCTTTCAGCTTGAACACTCACTCATACTCTCTTCTCTTTCACAAAAATGTCTTTGATGGTTCAAACATACAACCGTTCTTCACGAATGTGTGGCCAAAGATGAAAAGCTCAAGTAGACGTCACGTCGTTGCACGTGAAATTTACGTGGTCTACGTTTCAAATGAAATATGCAAATGAACTCGATATCAGATGATAATAAGGAAGTCGTTCGGCTTTTAAAGGCAGATGCTGTTTATGTTAAAGATAAGAATAATACGAGTTAATGTTAAGCTTATCCTCCCTCATCTTTATCTCTCTCTCTTACTCTCTCTCTGTCACTATCTTCTGTGTGCTTCTACCTGACCTACACGTCAAAGGAGAGTAGTGAAAGGAGGGAGGAGGGGGGTAACAAACATGTTTTAAAATGAATAATTGTGGGTGGATGACAGAACAGAAGATGAAAAGCTCACAAATCATAGAAAATGATCCAAAAAGTATTTGAATGAACGAATGTTTCCGTTTGAGAAGTCAGTCATAAGGTGCAATGAGCGTATCTGAAGTTAAAGAAGACAAAAGATGTGACCGTAAGCAAGGATTTGCTAAGTTCAAACAAAATTATTTTTGTTTTTGTTTAAAAATAGGATGACGTTTAGTATTTTCACACGTCTTGACATGAAAGAGATTTAGTAGTTAACCAGAAACTATAAATCTTTCAGTATAAAATCTTGGCTGATTGCCTGAGGCCAAGTTATTCATGCCCAAATATGCAAATTAAGATTTGTGTGCTTCGTATTTTCCCTCAGCTTATTATGCATTTGATGATGACCAGTACCATCTTCAAATATTTTGAAAAGTGTCGAAAAATTGAGAAAAAGAATGATGGAAAGAGAAAGAGAGAAGCAATGATGGAGTGACGGAGAGAGGGAGAGAGAGAAAGACCAGATAGAAGACCTGATAACAACATCCGAATATTCTCCTATTTCTCTTTTGAGCTTTAACGAAAAGCATATTTAGAATAATCGGAGAAGAAAAAAACGAGGGAAGAGAGAGAGAGAGAGAGACGGGGAGAGAAGAGAAACAACCGAAAAAAAATCATCAATTGAAGACTAAAATTGTGAGGTCGGATGGAGTCTAATGGACTACGGGACTCCGCCAATCACTTCAAGCGGGATGGGAAGTGGATTGAACTTATGGCAGATAGAGTTCCGTCTATTCAAGGTTTTTGAATATAATAGTTAAAGAACAGAGAGATCTTAGAGGATTTGCTATAGTTTATATAAGATTTGTAAAACATCTAAAAATGGAAATCATGTTTATGTTTGAAGAGAATAAACAGAGATCGACTGGCAGCATTAGAACTCGCTCTATCCCACTCACTCACTCTCTCTCTTGCTCACTGCTGCTCACTCTTGGCACTGTATGAAGGAGAGCTGTTTCTTTTATTATGTTTTCATCCTGTTAATACCTCCCTCTTTTCTTTTTTTTTTTCTGAACTTTGATTTTTAACAAAAAAAACTGTTCATCCTTGCAAAACTGACGTCACTTGAAAAGATTTGATAATTTGGAAAGGCTTTTGGTGTCTCTCAAGAAGATTCACGCCCTGATCTCCGAAAGTTTAACAAAGATTCCATAGAAGGATAAGAGGGAGTGAGAGAGAGAGCAAAGAGCTATACATGTAAAGTAGAAACCATATATGAGATTGTGAAGAACAAAAAAAACTAATCAGAAACCTTTCTTTTTTGTTTTGTAAAACAAGAGTTGAGCAGGTAATGCCGAACGCGAAAGAGAAAAATGATGGGATTGGACAGGAAGAAGATGAAGGAGATGGAACAGTTGTCAAACAAATCGCAGAATATGCTTTTGCCGAACGTGGAAATGATTTTGTGATGTTAAAGCTTCTCATTCTATCTGTCTTTCTCTCTTTCTCTTTCTTAAAGGCCATCTTGACCATCTTTGTCAGCTCACAGAATGGTTATGTCGGTGAATTCAGAAGGAAATGTTTAAAATAATTGTTCTTGACGTCCGGTATACATCTACGTCCGCTGAGGAAGTTGAGGAAAAATAGTCGTCTTGAGGACACGTTCGATGATTCTCCCTCTCTTTTGCCTTCTGCTCTTCAACATCTCCTTCTTCTTGTGTCATTCTTAACGGAGCAAAAATAAAGTTCGATTCTCAACATCAGAAGCTGTCGGAAAACGTTGGAATTGGTAGTTCACGATGGCAACAAGCTTGAATCTACTTGAGCTGAAAGCTCAGAAGACAACTTTAATCAAATTAAATATTATTCCGATAGAGATGGTTTGTTAGGAAGGGTAGGAGGATGAGAGAGAGAGTGAGAAGATGAAGTGATTGGAGAAAAAGAAAAAAAAAAGCAAAACGGGGTGGGAGGAGGAAGGAGGAGTTTGATGAAAGATACTCAGTCCTTAAGTAGCATTTTGTAAAAATTCAAGTATTTCTTAATGCTCCGCCTTCGTTTGCGTTCATGCTTAGACCTCATATAAGGAGGTACAGAGACAATATGATATGAAGAGGGACTAGAAAGAGAAAGGAAAGAAGAAGAGAGAGGTTTTAACAAAGAAATTGTATTTTTGAATCAAATGATCAGCTTGTGTAGATCAAAAAGCAAAAAAAGATAATTCATGAAAACTATTTGGTAACATCGATGAAGAAAGACATTGCGACTGCGAGATAATTCAATCGGACGCCCTTCTACTTCCAACAATTTTGAACTTTTTTCTTGAAATATCCATCTCCTGCTGCATCTTTCGTTTGTGAGAGAGCGAGGAAAGCTTAGATGTCAAGAGAAGAAGAGGTCAAAGTGGTAATTTTACAAAATTTTGATTAGAAATATGTAAAGTCTCAATGTAGATTGATGTTACCTGATCTACGAGACATCCTATAGCCAGACTCTTGCTCGCCCTCTTCTCTCTCTTTCTGAATGTTCCTCTCTCTCTATCTATACCTTGCTTACTACTCATTCTCTCTTTCTTCATTCTTCTGCAAATCACAGAGAGGACAAGATGTTCGATACTTTCAAACAACAGTCACTTAATCCCAAGAATCATACAGAAGGATTACATTTCAAACGAATGTATGGCTGAGCAAGACAATCAAAACGAAAACGAGTCGGATATTCCAATGAAACTTAAGAAACAAGTGAATTCTCAAAAATTGAGGTTATTAAAAGGTTGAGAAAGATGAAAAACACCAAGGGATAAGAGCAAAGTGTCAGATAATGAGCCTTGACGAATGGAACGAACGCGAAAATCTGAAAGCTTCATCTCACAGTTGTGAAAGAGGAAATGCTGATTCAGAAAGCCAAACGTTATTTTAACAAAAATTTGATTTCAGCTCAAAGGTGTGACTGAGAGAGATGTGAAAAGAACAAAAAATGAGTTGAAAGTACGATAACCTTAGGCTGTAGAGGGAGGGAGAACTACCTCTGACCGCATGCTTTCTCTCTCCCTCTCTCTCTCTCTATCTTTTTCGATTTTAGAAACATGAACTTCTTTTGTTGGAACCAAGAAGAGAGAGAGGGAGGGTGAAATAGAAAGGAAATAAACAATTTGAGAATATGTTTAGAAGGAATGGACGAATGAGGAAATGAAAGTGTTGAAAATGGAAGAACTGTGGCTGGGAGTTGATGGAAGAAGGTAAAGTGTGATGGACAAGCTTAATGAAATGATTGAGAGAACAACAATACTACAACTTATAATCAATGATAAAGACGTGTATCATTGACAAGGACAAAGAGAGAGAGAGAGAGAACGAGAGTAGAGACAGAGAGAGTTTGAGGGAGAAGAAGAGGGAATGAGGGAGGTCATATTGAGAGGTTGTTCGATTCTGGATGAAAGAGGATAAGTCTCTACTCTACGATCTCATTCGGAAGGTTTCACATTTGGAAGATCGGAAAGTACTCTTACTGAAGGGTGGACGTTCAAGATTCTATTTTACATCTCTTTGAATCGTCAAAGTTCAAGAAAAAAATTGTTGTGAATATGAAATGACCTGATGACTTGGAGAGCAAAGACGAAAACGAAAGATTGAAATGTTGAGATATAAGTACGAGGATTGAAGATAAAGTGATATAAGCTTATAATGCTCGTCATTAGATGTGATTGAGCATCACCAGGCGTATAAACTGACACCCCTATAGCTTTTCTCCTCATTTGCCCTGGGGATATAAATCTTAAAAATGAGAATGAAGATGAAAGGATAACAATTGCGGTGGGCTGTCGCATTCTGAATGGGGAGAAACAACTGTTCAGCTTTGAACCTTCATATCTACTTTTAACCTTCTTTTCTTCTCTCATGCTCCAATGCTCTATAGCTCATTTACATTCCAAAACTCTTTTTACATATAATTGGCCAATGAGGATGAAG